CTTCGCCAACCTTTGTTAAGCTAGGCCTAAGTACTTTGTCGAAATATACCATAAGGGATTCGTTGAAATTGATTTGAGCCGTCGACATCTTTCTTTTCGTTTTCGTTTATTTTCGCAATTAATAATTTTAGCCACCGCAGTTTTTTCAGGTTTGAATAATTTAGAAAACTCTCTGACACATAAAATAAAAAAAATATAAAGTGCAAGTGCAAGTGCAGGTCAAGGCTCTCAAATTGCATAGCGCTTTATTGTTGCCCGCGGCGAGTCGGTGTGGATAGAAAAAATATACAGCAGCTGCTTACAGTCTCGTCTGCGACTGCTCAATTTGCAAAAGGAAAGTGGCAGCTGGATTGAAAGACCCTAACGCAGAACCTGAGGTATTTGTGCAAAAATTGAAAGCTTGAGTTTATAAGAAAAACAATTTAATTGTTTATTGTCTTGTGCTGAAAAATTGCACCTCGCTTTCAATTCTTGGCACAGACGTATCGATATAGTAGAGCTAGTTGTGCATGCATTTATTTATAATAAATAAAATAAAAATTATATTAAAATTTATTATAAACACATACATATACACATACACATAATATATAACCTATTTGAACCGCCGTTGGATGTAACATTTAATTGTGTTATATTATTGCAGTCACTGTCGCCTCCAATTTATTTATTGAAACTCGAAAATTAATAGTTGGTAAAATCATCCCAGCCGCTATACATAGCCAATACATAAGCCCTCATATACAAGCAGCTGCAGCGGTGAACTTTTTCGTTTTCCTTTTTCGCTTTCGCTTGTCCGCCGTTAGCACCGTTGTAATTGTTGTTGGACTTTTGGTTTGGCGATCTGAAGATCAAAGTTACGCGCTACCCTGCATTCGGACGGGTATACTGAATTTTGCCGTCATTTGCAACCACTATTAATTTTGATACCTTGTGGCTCGATATTCAATTTAATATTTTTTTTCGTCGTTTTCGTTGTGGATAATTATTAAAATAATTTTTTCAAACAAATTTAATAATTAAATTAAATTGTTATTTACTCTTGGTATTTTGTTTCGAAAATTTGTTTAACATTTTGTCGTCGTTCTAATTGAACAATTATCCTGTTTTAAAATTTATTTATTTTATTAATTTATTATTCTTTGAATAAATAATTTATTTATATATATATACATTTATTTATTTTCGTGGTTTATATATAAAAATAAATTAAAATGAGTCCAGATAAGCCAAAATCTCTTGAACTTCTTGCGGATTTTAAAAATAAGCTCAAAAAACCAGTGATGAGCATCCGCCGATTAAATGATCGAATAGAAGCCGGCCAGATTCCGATTCAAGAAGTAGAACTAAATTGTGATTTTAAATGCTTCAATTATTAAGGCAACTCAAATACAAGAACAGATCGAAGATTTAGATGATGGCGATGAGTTCGGAGAAGGGTTGGAAGAGCTTTCAATAATAACCAAGACAAAAATAATGTCGCTTATCTCAGCCTTGAAGACGGCAAGCGAAACCAAAATAATTGGATCAGCTTCTGTAGCCCCAACTCGAGCTCGACTTCCGAATTTGTCATTGCCGAAATTCAGCGGCAAATATTCGGAGTTTAAGAATTTCATTAGCCTTTTCGAAACTTTTGTTCATCAAGACGACAGCATTCCCGTTATTGAAAAATTCAATCTCTTAATTTCTTGTCTTTCTGGTGAAGCTTTGGGAACTATTAAGACCTACCAAGTCACCGAGAGCAATTATGAAGAGGCTATCATCAGCCTGAAAAAAGGGTATGATAACGAATGTTTAATTTTTATGAATAATATTTCAACATTGTTTAGTCTTCCGAAAATAACGCAACAGTCAGCGTCGTCTTTGAGAAATATTATCGACATCATATCAGCTATATACGGTTCTTTGTTATCGATAGGATACGACATCAAGAATTCAAATGCAATGTTGATCTATCTTGTTTTGAACAGAGTACCCCCAGTGACCAAACAAAAATGGGAAGAACAATTAGATTATGAAAGGTAGCGGTAACCTTGGTCCGATTTTGAAAAAATGTTAAACCGCCGATACCAGCATTTATTCGCTGAAGAATCGACGAAGCCACATAATCGTAGCTCTTTTTCTTGTTCTTCGTCAGTAAATCAGTAAATCCCAGCAGTTGTAGCTATTGCAATGCAGGAGACCATATCCTAGAGAACTGTGGTCCGTTTGGACGCCTTTTGGTAATGCAAAGGTTCGACTTTGTAAAATCAGCTTCCTTATGCATAAATTGTATACGAAAGGGTCACACTGTTTCGAAATGCAAATTTAATAAATGTCGAGTTTGTGGCCGCTCGCATCACTTTTTACTGCATATAGTTTAGCGTTGCCACCACCCCCAAAGATTCTTTCTCCCCCTTTAAACAATACAGCCTCCAGCACATGTTATACATGCGACATCATTGGAAAGAGTGATTTTAGCCACGTCGATCGTAAATGTAAGAACTAAAAACGGTGAATATATGTGGGCCCGAGCACTTCTTGACTCTGGGTCCAAACGAATTTTATAACAGAGGACCTTGCTCACCGCTTACAGATCCGTAAAGAGGAGTCGTGCTTGGTACTTGGTATTGGCGAGTCCAATTCTCAAGTTAAGACAAAGGTACACACAATGGTGAAGTCGCGTATAAATGGTAGTGGGTTATCTTTCGATTTTTGGATTTTGAAATCAATATCAGGATATCACTCTGACCAGTCGATCAATATCAATGACTGGAAAATTCCAAAGAACCTACCACTAGAAGACCCCTATTTCTACAAACCACAAAGAATAGATATGTTAAAAGGAGCAGAATCATTTTTCGAACTATTAGCTGTTGGACAAATTAGACAATGTCCTGACTCTTCAACTCTGCAGAAGTTGTGAAAAGTTTCAGTTGTAGTGAAGAGGTTTTAGTGTCAAATGCCATCTCTAAAGAAAATTCTGTCACCTGAGCAAAAGTTATGTGAAGAACACTACCGGAAGACTACTCTGGTCGGTTTGAAGTAATACTGGCGCTTAAATCGGATCCAAATGAGTTAGGCAACTCTTTTGAAGTTGCAAAACGGCGGTTTTTGTCGCTTGAAAGAAGGCTGTGTCGAGACCCTGAGATGAAGAAAATGTACCTAGAATTTATGGAGGAGTACCTTTCCTTAGGTCATATGTCTCTTATATATAAACTTCCTTCTGCTCCACATTATGTTATCCCACATCAATGTGTTCTGAGACCCCAAAGTACGTCAACCAAGTTACGTATCGTTTTCGATGCGTCTTGTAAATCGTCAACTCAGAAGTCTCTAAATGACATTTTGATGGTTTGGCCGACAATCCAAGATGAGTTGTACTCAACGATACTGCGCTTCCGGCTGCATAAGTTTTCCCTGACCGCCGATGTAAAGAAAATATATCGTCAAGTGATGGTGAATGAAGCAGATAGGCAGTTTCAACTCATAGTGTGGAGAAGAGACCCCTCTGAGTCCTTGAGATTATACAAGCTCAACACCGTTTAAAAAGGCTAAGTGAGTCTGCGAAAGTTTCTTTTCCTAGAGCTGCTAAGGTTATGGGATCCGACTTTTATGTCGATGATATCTTGACTGGTGCTGCATGCGTAGAGGAGTTAAAGACTATTAAGTCTGAAGTACTTGGTCTGAGGAACTTGTGAGATGGTTCTGAAGCCGCCTAGCTGGGGCGACCGAGCGGGTCGCAGGTTGCGGATAGCGGACGACCTCACTCGAGGCCAACTGCGAATAAGCTGGCGGTGGAAATCAAACACGGAATCGTGGACGGAAACCCCAGCAAATAAGCAGTCCCGGACAACCAGCGGGTATCTTGCAACGAGGCAGTACCGACGATGCGATTTGTTCAGCCGCATCTAAACAGTTGCTTTACACAAACCCAATATCCCCCACACACCACCTACCCACTTCCTCTCCCAAACAACATCTCACTCCGGGCCGGACTACGGTGTAATCCGGACCGTGCCAAGAGTCAGCCTGGCTGGAGGGCCCGGATCAACAACTAGCCCAGTCTCAAACGGTGGGCTCAGGGAGATGGCGACCCCCTGTTCTATCTACCGCCTTACCCGGGTAACGCGGATCTCTGCCCAGGCGGACCTTTCCCCTTCTCCGCAGCTCGTGGGACCAACTATGGAAACAACACACAAAAACACAAACAAAAAAACGGAGACGGGAACTCCACAAAAACCCGGCGCTGCAAAGACGAACGATGGTTCCACTGCAAGCACCAGTAGGGCTCAGAAAGGGCCCCATCCCAAACTAGGGATGTCGGGGGACAGACTGTCGCTAACGCCTCTGCTATGTGCGCATCTGCGTCAAAACCAGTGGTAGGCGCAGCAAAGTCGATCGGGTCACCCGCTGGTGCAAAGAAGAATTTTACATACGTAGAGTGGGCAAGGACGGTGTTTCCCAACTATGGGCAAGAGAAGCCCCAACAAGAAGGTGCTCAGGCGAAGAGGCAACGCTCCATAGAGCTGCCCGGCCCGTCGGCGAAGAGATCGAAGATCCAGCCGTCGGTCTCCTTTGCCGAGATCACCAAAGATCGGGTCCTACTTGGACTCATAGATAGGGGAAATCCGGAGAACAGGATCCCCAGAAACAAATGGAAGGCGGTTGAGTCCAAGCTGTCACTCATTTGCCTGCGTATGGTACGCGAGAAGCCCGGTTCAGCGCCTTGCTGTATGGACGCGGGCTGGTACCAGGGCAGTGTAAAAGTGGTGGCCTGCGATAATCAGCGATCAGCTGACCTATATAAACAGGCGGTAGCTCAGCTCGGAGCAGTCTACGAAGGGGCGAACATAGTCGCACTAGATTGGTGTGACGTCCCCAGTAGACCGCGAGCCTGAATTTGGCTCCCAGCAGCAATCGCATCACCGGAGGACATCCTCTTTATGTTGCAAGAATGCAACCCACATCTCCCCACAAAAGACTGGAAAGTCGTTAAGGTGGAGGAGCACGAAGGTGACGTAAACCAAGCGATTGTGGTACTGAATAAGGAGTCTATCGCTCCCATAGAGGCTGCTCGGGGAACGCTTAACTATGGGTTCAGTGCCATACACATTAAAATATATAAAGGGGACTCTAATTCCTCGGGAAGTCCTGCCGGCAACCCAGCCGAGCAGGTGCTTGCGGAGGAAGTGGAGGCCCCTGGTGTGCCGGAGGACGGCTATTCAACCGACTCGTCGCTAAGCAGAGAGATGCGAGCGATGGGACCGGCAATCGACGAAGTGGACCTGAGCGATTCGGAGGCCGACGTTACTGTGGTGGAGGTTGCAGCTGGGGATGTCGCTAAGACTCCTGCAGATCAACCTACATCACAGTAAAGCAGCGTCCGCTGCTCTTTTGCTTCGCCTGGCCAAAGGCGAAGCCGACGTGGTCTTAGTTCAGGAACCCTGGGTAGCAGGAGGCAGGGTTGCTGGACTGGGAACAAAAGACTACAAGCTTATGCTTGACCCCAAACAAGGTAAAATTCGAACCTGCATTTTAGCCAAACGGCATCTTAGTACATTTCTGCTTCACAAATACAGCAACGGAGACAACACAGCAATAAGCCTGGAGCTGCAAAGCGGCTCTTTTAGGATGCTATCGGCCTACATGGCTTCCGAAAAGGTAGACCCCCAGACGCGCTAGTCAGAGGACTGGTACAGGAATGTGAAGAGCTTAAGAAAGGTTTGGTGATAGGATGCGACGCAAATGCCCACCATACTCAGTGGGGCTGCCCTATCAACAACGACAGAGGTGAGTCTTTATTCGATTTCATTCTTAAATCGAACTTATTTCTTTGCAATAGGGGCAATACCCCTACTTTTATAACAAAAACGTGCCAAACGATCATAGATCTAACCCTGGCATCAGATTCACTCATAAGCACAGTCACAAACTGGGCTGTCTCCAACGAGCACTCATTTTCAGATCATAGGTTTATAGAGACAACTTTGCCCCTAGTATCACCTGCGCCGGTCAGCTTTGCCAACCCCAGGCGGGCAAACTGGAATAAATACAAAGAAATTCTATCGAACTTCCTCCCCAGGAAGCCACCAGAAAGCACTCCCTGCACTCAGGAGCTAGATAATATAGTAAACAAATTCACAGAAGCATGCAACGCGGCATCCTGCACCGTAGAAACCAGGAAACCCGGCCCAGCAATTATCAATCCCAGAGCCAAAGCAGAAACCGAACTGCAAATGAGGACATAAACTGGCAAAGCTACAAAAAGGAACTAGCCACATACAAAAAGACCATTAGAAAAGAGAAGAGAACTGCGTGGCAGAACTTCTGCTCGGACATTGAAAAGACAACTGATGCCGCAAGGCTCAGAAAAATAATTTCTAAGACAGCCGTATCCATAGGCTATCTCCAAAAGGCTGACGGATCATGGTCGGACTCTAGTGAAGAATCCCTAAACCTACTCCTAGACGCTCACTTCCCAGGGAGCCTACAAACAGGACATCCCCCAGGAAGACACACTGGAGAAGGAATAAACTTAAATCTCCTACTATCAGACCGTAATATAAACTGGTCCATTCATAGTTTTAAGCCATACAAATCGCCGGGACCGGATAATATAACACCGGCACATATTCAACAAGCAGGAGAACTAGCTATAAACTGGCTGAGAAAAATATTCCAGACCATTCTTGCAGTAGGAGAACTACCTACAGCATGGCGGGAAACGAAAGTCGTTTTCATCCCTAAGGCAGGGAAAGCCACCCATACTACAGCGAAGGATTTCAGACCGATAAGTCTGACATCATTCCTGCTAAAAATCCTAGAAAGACTGTTAGGTCTACATATTAGAGACATCATTGACCCGACGCAGATATCAGAGGCGCAACACGCATACACCAAAGGTAAGTCGACCGAATCGGCGCTACACTTGGTAGTAAGCAACATCGAGAAATCACTCAGTATACAAGAATACACCTTGATCGCCTTCCTTGACATAGAAGGAGCGTTCAACAACGTGCTCCCCACGGCAATAACAGAATCCCTCACTGAACTAGGGGTTGAGCCACCGCTGGTGGGGCTGATCCACAAATTGCTGATAAGCAGATTGGTCACGGCCACACTAGGGACCTCGACCCAGACTAGATTAGTGAACAGAGGCATTCCGCAAGGAGGTGTACTATCACCCCTTTTATGGAATATCGCGGTAAATAAACTACTGCGGATTCTTGAAGGAGGAGGCTGTAAAATAGTGGCATACGCAGACGATGTCGCTATCATCTTTAATGGTAGGTATCCACAAACGTTATGCGATCTTATGACCGCAAAACTAAAAACACTATCGGAATGGACTACAAAGAACGGACTTGGGGTAAATCCCTCAAAAACGGAACTAGTCCTTTTTACAAATAGATACAAAATCCCAAAACTTAACCCACCCACTTTAAACAACTGTAATCTCTCTTTTAGCGAGCACGCAAGATACTTGGGGTTAGTATTAGATAAGCGTCTTAAATGGGGCCTAAACAACCAAGAGAGAACCAAGAAAGCGACCATTGCACTTTACTCTTGTAAAAAAGCAATTGGGCTAAGATGGGGTATGTCCCCTAAAATCGTCAATTGGATATACATAGCGGTAGTCAAGCCAATCCTACTATATGGAGTGGCTCTGTGGTGGACCGCTTTACACAAACAATGTATCTTAACTCCACTTAACAAAGTACAGCGCATGGCGGCCTTGTGTATGAGTGGAGCCCTTCGAACTACCCCAAACGAAGCGCTGAATGCGATCTTGAACCTCCAGAGCCTGGACTTAGCAGGAATGGAAAGGGCGAAATCGGCAGCCATTCGACTAAGGGATACAGGGCAATGGAAAGCCCAACTGTATGGTCACGCTAAGATTCTTCAGCATGACAAATTGATCCCGCCAAAAACGGATCTATGTAAAACCCGTGAATACAATCACACGCACTTCGAAGCTCTGATCCCAGGCAGGGAAGTTTGGGATCGTGGCCGACCGGGCTCAATAGACGCAATCTGTCTATATACAGACGGCTCCAAACTAGACGGACACGTAGGTGGAGGCATATACTCCGAGCAATTAGAGATCAGGCGGTCTTTCAGACTTCCTGACCACTGCAGTGTCTTCCAAGCGGAAGTGTACGCTATAATGGAAGCACTTGTCTGTTTAAGGGACTTAAACACCCAGAACAGACACATAAACATATATAGTGATAGCCAAGCGGCTATTAAATCAATCTACTCGACAAATACAAACTCCCGAACAATAGCAGACTGTCGCAAATCTCTCCACGAGATAGCTAATCAGTTTACTGTCAGCCTTATATGGGTTCCGGGTCACCGGGATATCGTAGGCAACTGTATAGCAGACGAGCTAGCCAGGCAAGGCACCACCATACCTCTCCTTCCAGGAAAGGAGAATGTCGGCATGCCGATGGCTACTTGTAAGCTAATTATTAAAAACCACTTCAGCAAATTAGCCAACACTTATTGGCAAAACACACCGCAATGCCGAATCTCTCACCAGACATGGCCTGAAATAAACAATAAGAAAACATCAGAACTACTCAATTTCAGCCGCACTGAGTGCAGCATGCTAATTCGAGTACTCACAGGCCACTGGCTCGTTGGCGCACACGCCGGCAGGCTAAAAGCCCCAAAAAACGATTTTTGCAGAAGCTGCAGGGATGAGGAAGAAGAGGAAACGGTGGAACACCTACTCTGTTCATGCCCAGCCCTATGCAGGCTCAGACTGAAACACTTAGGATATCCTTTCATAAACGACCTGACCGAAATATCGCAGACTAACCTGAAGAGTCTAAGCTCTTTTATTAAATCCTCCGGATGGGGGACCTGCTGATCGACCAACTTACAGGCTGACTCTTAACGGATAGGGGACCCAAAAATAGAGATCATACGGTATCACAATGGACCCACAGAGGTCTAGGTGTACCAGGCTACAGCCTGGCAGCCGTCCTAACCTAACCTAACCTAAGTCTGAAGTATCTCAGGTTCTTCAAACTGCAGGTTTTGAATTGACAATCTGAGAGCACAGTTAAATCCATACCCATCTCGGACTCAGAGTCAACTAAGGCGTAAGGAATATAGTGGTTGCCTAACGATGATGCCTTCAAGTTCCAAATTGACACTGCTGTCATGGGTCTCCGAGCGACAAAACGGAACATACTATCGGTGACATCGAAGCTGTTTGACCCCATCGGCTTATTAAGTCCTATTGTAATTAGAGAAAAGATCCTATTGCGGGAACTTTGGCTAAATAAGTTAGATTAGGATGAGTCGATTCCTATTCATTTGGAAACAGCGTGGAATATGATAAAAATGACACTGTCTAAATTAGAGGAAGTATCTATTCCCCGGTTTGTGCATTTCATTATCCACATTCGTATCGAATGGAGTAGCAGAGATTCAAGAGTGGTCAGGTGAAGCTACATGGCGGCATGTTCCAATGAAATTGTTAAAAAACTTGAAGTTTAGTGTAAGTTAGTTTAGGGCGAAGGCGGGAGCACAATAAAGTTCTCTCTCGCTCTCGGCGAAGTCGCCCCGTCTTCGCCAACCTTCGTTAAGCTAGGCTCTAAGTACTTTGTCGAAATATAGCACAAGGGATTCGTTGAAATTTATTTGAGCCGTCGACACCTTTCTTTTCGTTTTCGTTTATTTTCGCAAGTTAATAATTTTAGCCACCTCAGTTTTTTCGGTTGTTTTAATAAATTAGTAAGCTCTCTGATTTTTCAGGGTTTAATTCTAGCGTGTTGCCTTCCAAAACAGCAACAAACTATTTGGTTCATAATTTCAGCTAGCTCGCCTGGTTCGAGATTCTTTTGCTCTTGACTACACTGTCGATGTCGGTCTTTCCGGATACATTGTCCAGCGCTATAGTTGGTATACTATGTGTATAGTCTCCGTGTCCTCCACCGGCACTTCTTTGCATCTAACTCAACTCAGAAGCTCGTCCTTCTTCAGGTTGATTATGTCAGAGTATTTCATCACGAGAAGACCAGTGCAAGCCACACACCTGATTTTTAATCGCCCATAAGTTTATTTTTGCAAGTAGCAGCTAAGATCGGCTTAATATTATCGAACTTTTATTCTATGGCGTCTTCTCGTGCTCAAGCCGAGGCTCAAGGTGCCCACCCTTTATTTCCTGTTAGAAACGTAATTTTTACATTTTTAGTGGACCATTCTTCGATCATCATTGCCAATCGATATTTTTGATGTGAGTAATAAACAACTTCCACTTAAGGCTTAATATTATGTTATAATATTGATAGATATTTACATTATGATATTTGATAGACATTTACAGATGTTTACAAATTAAATAACTAAACGTGAATGCCACAACCTTAAATAATACTATTAGGGAACTAGCATTAAAAAGGGGCCTACAGTTTATATAAATATTCATGATTTAGAAAACGCATATATTAAAACGAGTTTATTTTGAATTTTCCCCAAGAATTAATACTATTCCAAATTTAGGCAGAATTCTCAGCCACAGAATATAATGAGAGGACGATCAAAATAATAAGTAACTTCTAAATAATTAAACATGGAATGGAAGCCATTAGGAGGACAAATCCCCAAAATAAAAAATATTTTGACAAATCCTATTAATGTATAAGTCAAAAAAGAGTAACACAAAAATAACCAATAAAC